TAAAATAATGTCTGTCTAATTTGCTAATAAATATTGTAACATTATAATTTTGAAGAGAAGAACCTGTGAAACACCTTATATAATAAAAGGCTAATATGCAAATTGACCATTCAAACAGGAATTTGACCAGGAATTCTACCAGGGGGTGGTACTGGCTGGCCAACCACCTGCAGCCCCTCCCCAATGTCCAGCCTGGCTTGATCGGCCCCATTAGGGGTTGCCCTGTCAGACTCCACCTCTGCACAAATGTATGCACTTGGCCTCTAGTTAATTACATTTGGGCATATATTATGCCAGTCATTGAAAGAGAAAGCATGGAGGGGGAAGTATTATCTCTAGAGCTTTGTTGGCTTTGAAATATTAAGTTGCACTGTGTATTGTATAAGAGCATTTAATGGGATTGGTTGTAAGGCAGTCATTTTTGCATAGGAGAGCTCCAAAGAATTAACTATTACCTATGATAATTTTTTTTTGTCTTTTTAGCTAGAATAATTTGTTTTACCTGAACTTAGAATATTTTATAGACTCTCTGAGTCATGTAAAATATCATGTTTCTCTCTTGGCAGTAACTACTGACATTTTAGAGTCATAATTAAAATTATTCTGTGGTTCTCTAATTGGTATTTGCAGACCCCAAGTTTATCAGGCAATATTAAATAATGGTTCTCTTTTCTTTTGGGGTACATAATGAACAGTCCATAAAAATTATGTCACTTTATGGCTTATATTTCATAGATTCCACAATGTGTGTTTTTTTTTTCACCTTTAACATTTCTGAAGTAAAGATATCCCTTATAATTTTGTTAGAGTTTATTTGATAAATTTTCTTTTTTAGGGTTACATAATCTATTATAATCTTAAAATAGATGTCATCTTATAATCAATTAAATAAAATATTATAATATCACTAGAGGCCTGGTGCATGGAATCCGTACACTTGGCAGGTGGCAGGGGGTGGTCCCTCAGCCCAGCCTGTGCCCTCTCACAGTACGGCAGTCCTGTGATAGATCATCCCAAAGAGGATCAACCAGCCACAGTCCACCAGTTGGTGGCCTAGCCCTCACTGGGTGATTGTGGAACCCCCCTCCTATTGATCAATAGCCCCGCTGGCTGGGGGCCTGGACCTCCCTCTGCAGGGAAATCATAGGGCAAAGGCCAGGCCCCCAACCAATTACATCTTACCCGCCTTGGCTGGCCTGGCGCCAGTGGGTGTCATAGCGTGGTCATCTGGAAGGTTGTCTGCACGTTCATTCTGCTGTTTGGTTGTTTGTATATTATGCTTTTATTATTGTAGGTTGAAGTTAGGGAATACTTATCTATATTGAAAAGAACAGTCTTATTAAAAACTCAATAATACTGAGTGGTTTTAGAGTGGATTCCCAGATTATTATATATAGTCAAATAACTCTAAAACATAGCTCATGTCCTTGTTTTCTGTGAAACTCACTAAATGTTTTACATTCTGTTTGTTTAAGTGATCTTTCCAAAAATAATATCTGCTCTAATTTGTCTCTATTCCTCCCTCCTTCTATTACTCCTTACCATCATGGTTCTTTCCATGTTTTCACTAACTATTCCTTTATTTTTTTCTTTCAATATTCACAAATACTAAGGAAGCACATTTTATATTCTGACTTTCAAGTTATTATGTTGGTTTGAACTCAGTATAACCCTTGATGGCAAGTTTCTTGTATCAAGTAAACCTTTGTGGTAGTGTAATGGTTTACAGAGGTGGGAAAGATATGGCAAGGCACATTATTTGTCAGAATAGACTGAGAAGGGAACTGATTTAGTGAAGCTAAATGTGGCTCTCAAAGGATAAGAAAAAGTAACCAGATGAAAAAAAAACATGAAATGTGAAGAGTAATGGCATGAAAGAGTAGAAAATCTAACAGAAAACTTTTAAGCTAAAATGTCTGAATAGTGATGTAAACTTGTGATGCTGGCAGAAGAGGCCAAAGAGGTAGGCAGACCAGACTAAAAGGCCGGCTCCATTTTATTGTGCAAAATGCCATTGGAAGCTTCTCTGGATGGCAATGTGAACCCAACTTAAAAATTATAAGTGGCACATTATTTGCTTTAAAAAATCATTCCAGCAGCAGTGCGAGAATTAATAAGAATCATGAACATTAAACTAGCTTCAGTTTATGGGAGGATGATATCCTTGACTAGATGAGAGATGATCAGTACAGAGAAGTAAAAGGACAGTGTTGGATTGTAAACCTAATTACATGGCAGGTCTATGTGCAGTAAGGTTGAGAAGGAGAAGTCAAGATCATTCTTATTTATAGCTAAGGACTGTGTAACACCGACAAGATAGGGATATGGGATGCACAGCAGGTGCGAAAGCAGTGACATAATCATACTTTAGTTGGTGGTCATGGTGATTTTTTGATTCCTGTGAGATTTTTGTGTTTACAAATACAAACTTGGAATAAAAGCATTAGAGAAATTGTGCTAAACATGTGGCATGAAAATTAACTAACAGCATTTTCCTGTCAAGTCAGACTATGAATGTTTCCTGTTTACAGATGCAGTTGTAGTCTTAGAAAAGTTACTACCTGACTCAAATTGCTAAAAAGTAGTGGAGATCCTTTGGGAAAATAAATGTTTCTAACTTTAGAACATGTGTTGTTGGGGTTTCTTTGTTGTTTTTTTTTGTTTTTTGTTTCTTCTTCTTTTTATAGGGCAGTTTAAGGTTCACAGCAAAAAATGAGAAGGCACAGAAATGTTCCATGTACCCACTGTCTCACACATGAATAACCTCCCCCATTATCAACATAGTCCACCAGAGTCATTCATTTGTTCCAGTTGTATCTACATTGACATTATAATTACTGAAAATTCATAGTTTTTATTGCAGTTCAGTAATCATGTTGTGCATTCTATAGTGTTGAACAAAAATAAAATGATACATGTTTATTATTATGGTATTATACAGAGATTTTTCACTGCCCTAAAAATCCTCTGTGATGCAATTATTCATCTCCCTCCTGCACACATACACACTTTCTAAACCCAAGCAATCACTACTCTTACTGTATCCATAGTTTTGCCTTTTTCAGAATGTCATTCAGTTGAAATTATACAGCTGTAGTCTTTTCGTATTGACATCTTTCACTGAGTAATATACATGTAATTCCTCCATGTCTTTTCATGTACTGATAAGTCATTTATCTTTAACATTGAATATGGATGTACCATAGTTTATATATCCATGTTTAAGCATTTAATATAGTACCTGAAAAATAGTAAACTCTCATTAAGTGAGAATTGCTAGTACTTGTGACAAAGAGTGCTGATTGCGATCACTTATGTATATTATAGATGTTTATGGTGGCCTCTCTGTTATTAATATGAAAACCAAGAGAAATGGATTTTGCACTCAATATGCAAGTAAAATTGACTATGATAATGTAAGAAATAGTTGCAACATCTTCAAAATTAGCCAATATTTAATGAACAATAAAAGATATGAAGAAGTTAATTTTAATATCTTAGTTTCTAATATATTACATTGGGCGCAAGGTAGTAGCTGTATATAATTCTTTTTAGAAAATTTAATCATATATACATTTTAAAATATGTATATTTTTATTGCTGATAATATTACAGATGTCTCTCATTCCTCCCCTCACTCTTTACCCTTCTCTGTTCAGCCCCACCCACTCTCCCATGATGACATTTTATGTTAACAAATTTCATACCTGTGCATATAAAGATACATCCATTTGTAGGGAGATAATAAGCAATTCTTTCATAATCTCTTTGCTGTTAAAAATATTATCAGATAAAGGCAAATTGTTAATTGTCATTCTTTCCAAAGAGGTGGCAGTGTTATCTGGGGCAGGGAGGGTGGGGGGAGAAAGTAAACAACTGATTTATGTGATAAAAAGCTTTCTTTGTCTTGTCTTTGGTGTTTAGCTGTTTCCTATTTTTGTTTTTGTTTTATATTCATAATGAAGTTTTAGTAGCTCCCAAGTTGAAAAAGCACAAACTAGGGTACAATATCTAGCTGGAGCATATCAAAGTAACTAGCTATTTTCTATTTCTTAAATGCTACTTGGACAAGTTTGCTGTCTCATATTGATTTTTCTTTCTATTCTTAAAATAATTGCTCCTGGGCAAAACACAGCTCTTCTTTTGTTGTTCCATACTTGTGAAAATGTTAAAGCACAGAATGTAAGAAATGCGGATGGTAGCCAAATCTCTTGTGTTTAAAAAATCGATTTCTCAACCAAGGATTCAGGTACCTAAATTATAAACACACATTTTTGTTTAAGGCCTTGGATATAAATCAAGTTTTATTCCTAACAGAAAAGGCATATTTTTTTAAACCAGAATTAATAAGAATAACAGAAGAATTTTGAAAATGTGTGTATTCAAATTCTATGATTTATATTTTATATCTGGATATATTTAATATTAGATCTAAAAACATAAAAAATATAATGCAGGAATTTTTGAAAGTCATTTAAATAAATAGTGTTTATGAAATGCTTTCAAAATCTCATTCTTGAAAAAAATTTGTGGAGAACTAGAATTATTATCATCCCTCAGAAAATACCATTTCTTATTTTAAAATTAGCGCTTAACCTATTTAGAAAACCTAAGCCAACATGATAAATAAAAACAAGCAAAAAATAGGTATATTTGTATTAATTCTGAGAGTTTATCATGGGGAAATATTAAGATAACAGAAGAGTTAGAAAGTTAGATATTTAAATATTAGTGTCATGGGATGAATTGTCCAACACTTCTCCTCCCCCCAATATATTGAAGTTCTATCACCCAGTACCCTTGAATGTGATTGCATTAGGAGATACAATCTGTAAAAAGGTAATTAAATTAAAAAGGGGTCATTAGAATGGTCCTAGTTCAAATGACCCATGCACTTAATGGGAGAGATTAGGACACAGATTGCTTAGATTGAGGGTCAGCCATGTGAAGACACAATAAAAAAGGTAGCCAGGAGAGAGGCATCTGAAGAAACCAAACCTGTGCTCGCTTCAGCAACACACATACTAACAACATTGGAATGATACAGAGAAGATTAGCATAGCCCCTGCACAAAGATGTCAGGTAAATTTGTGAAGTGTTCCATATTTAAGAAAAAATAAATAAAAGAAATGATACCTTCCACCCCATTGATCTTGGATTTCTAGCCTTTATAACTGTGATAAAATAAATCTCTGCTGTTTAAGCTCCCCAGTTTATTTTGTATGGCTATTTAAGTTCTCCCCTAGGAAACTATTACAAATAGCTCTCTAACTAGGGTAATATTAATATTATGGTTCCTAGAATTCTCACCTGTTGAAAAAGGTCTTCCTCAATTGAAGTATTAAATGATTGTAACTAACCTTTAGTTCCATGAATGAGTCCAAGAACAGATCTCTCCCGGATCATCTTTCCAGACTTCTAGAGAAGCCATTGTCTATGGGCTAGGCAGAATAAGAAAGATTATTAAGTAAACAATAATTGAAGAAAGATGACATCATCAGTGTATCTAAAGAGCTTAAAAACCAGTGATGGTGATAAGGTAATTATAATATTAGCCAAGACATGCTTAGTGCCATAAGAAAGATCCACATAGGCATAAAGAAGTTCTGAGGAGATAAAAAGTTAATCATTTGCATTCTTTGTTCCAGAGGGCAGATTGAAGGAGTCTCCTTGGAGCAGTGGGCTTAGCTGGATTATAAAGGAGGAGTAGAATTTTGACAGAGGATTTTAAAGCAAATTACATTTTATGCATTAGCAATGCATAAGCAAAAGTGCATTCGTGGAAAAAAACCAATCTCACTTTCTTCCTATCCCTGCTATAACAATATAACCTTTTTCCTTTTCCTTTGTCAAGTACTGATCTTTTCTCTACAAAAGATACAGACTGGATTTGAGAAGAAAGTAGACACTGTGACAATCTGGCATCTAATAACTCTTGGACTGGTATGTCAGTTAGCTCAACAGTGAATAAATGATACCATTAAAATGGATTTGCCTCGGGCAAACTTCTGTGTCCAGTCCTAATTGTCACTGGCCCAGGACCAGTCCGGCTCTGCCTCGGGCAGGCCTGTAAGGTGTGGGTTTTTGACTTTGCGTAGAAAAGATTTCACAGCATGAGTTTTGGTGATTGTGTGTGTACTTGTATTGATGTTGAGGATAGTGAGACAGAGGAAGGGCTTCGGGCAGAAGCAGCAACAGGAGGGAGACTAAGTGGTGCTCTGCTTGGCTCCCAGGAATGTTCTAGGAGAGAAGGGAGCCAAGGCGGGGCTGCTGTGAGCTCACTGGGAAATCAGAGAAAAGGGGGGCTTTGCAAACAGGTTTAGGGCGGCAGCCTGAGAGGAGCTGTCCCTGCCCTCTGCTCCCCTAGTTGTAAGTCTCCTGGGACCATTAGGAGAAGGAAAGTAAAAAGTTTGTGCCAGACACGCTCCAGAGCAAGGACACACTGGTATTTTTTGTCTTGAGGTGTTTTTTTTTTTTGTTTGTTTGTTTTCGTGTTTTTTTTTAATTGTTTTCCTGTGGGCAAGAATCTTAGGGGACTGTTTCAGCAGAATATTCATTAGCTTTTTTGGGTGTGCTTTAAATATGTTGATGTATTAAAATGAGCATATAGGGCAGTTTGGTATGATTTTTTTTTTTTTTTTGGTTGGTTTTATTGTTTGATTTTTATTTGGGGTCTGTCTGGATCTAATCAGGTCTTTGTTATTTGTTCTCCTGATTTCATCTGTCCTTGGGTTTGGGTGTCACAAATGGCATTAATTGGGTCTCTGTCCTCTATTCCCCTGAACATGGTGATTTAAACTATTTCTTCTCTGGTTTGCAGGGGAGAGGTATAAACCATTTGTTCTCCAGTGTCCTTGGTTAGGAAGATAAGTCTTGTGATTCACTAGCTGGATATAAATTGGTCAAATGGTTTTTTTAGCTTCTTGCCTCATTAACCATATTAAATTACTGCTTTACAGTTAGATTTTAAAGCTACCATCAGTTTATAAGAAATATTGAGTAATAAGAATATGTAGTGGTTTTACAAATATTTTTGCTATACACTGTGGCTAGGAAGATAATTTTATTCCAGCGTTGTTGCTTTTAGCTGAAGCCATATTAAGTGACAATAACAAACACACACAAAACACACACACACACACACACACACACACACACACACACACACACTCATACTTTGACTGCCAATAAGCTGAATATCTTCCTCACTAGCTACAACCTACACTCCCACCAGTTGTAGGCAAGAAATAGTTCACGCAATATTGGGAAGATTCTTATTTAGATTTGAATCAAGGTATATATTTGACCATATTTGTTCTTTTCACACATGTAATGTGTGCAGTTTAGCATTCGGAATTATCAGTAAAATAGTTACTTTCTTTTCCTGTTTTGTATAGACTGGTCTTTACTAGCTTTTCTTCTTTATATAATCCTCAACAAAGTTTGTTATGTACCCCGGGTTCATAAGGGACTATGTACCAAAAAACAAAAACAAAAACACCTGAATAAAACAAGATAGTTTTAAAATTGTTATAATTTTAATGGTAAAACATCTTGTTAAATTACAACCACTCAAAGAGTTAATATTCTATTGGTGATCATCTGCTATATGGAAGGTGCTATTTAACTACTTAGATTTCTGTGTTAGAGTTTCCCAAACTCCTTTAAGTTGAAAAATTGTGTTATTTTACCTAAAATGTTTATACTTAATACTTTAGGGATATTCAGAATACAGATATATAAGGACTCCCTATCTCCCCACACACAATAATAGAGTTGACTTATTAAGGCTGCCTTTTTGTTTCATGTGAAGGAAGCAAGATTCCAGTTTCTTTTCTGGAATTAAAATAATAAACTAAAATAGATTTGCATGCAGTGAGCTTTTGCAGCCTTCCCCCCGCCCCCCTCCCCTCCGAAGGCCGACTTCTGTCCACCCCAGTCACAGCCTGAATTTTTAAGTTTCTGTCAGAAGAGGAAGGAAGTCTTCTGGGTGAGTAGCAAGTGAAAAATTAAGGACAGTTCAAATGGTGCATGAAAGAGACACCAGCACCGCTTCAGTTCTCTGTCAATCTGCAACTTATGTAAGAAATTGCCATATGATTTGTAAGGATAATATTTTGGCAATTTTTATGCCTTTTTGGAAATCAAGGGGGTACACATAATTAAATATTCAACACATTTTCCCTTTGACAAATTTGAAATAATGCCATATCAAACCAGTTTATTTACTGTCTTGTCAATATGCAAGGGCGATGAAGGAACAACACTGAATCAGATATAGTTCTGCATTCAAAGAGCATATACACTGAAAACAAAACAAATGGAGAGGATAGGCAAATTCCCATATTTTTTTTCTTCATTATTATTACTGTCAAAGCTTTCTCCAGAACTTCAGCTTCATTAATTTTAAGGCAGTGGCTGCAACTGTGGAGATTTTGTACTACCCAGGGGTATTTGATAATATCTGGATACATTTTTGATTGCCACAACCAGGAAAGGAGAGGCTAGGGATACTGCTAAACATTCTGTAATACCCGGAGCAACCTTCCACAATAAATCAGTCAGTTCCAAATGCCAGTATAGAGTTTATGTGCTTTAAACAAAGAAGTAACCAGGCCGGCAGAGGAGAGAAGTTGGGGGCAAACAGGCTGGCAGGGGAGCAGTTAGACATCAATCAGACTGGCATAGGAGTGGTTAGGGAGTGACCAGGCTGGTAGGCAGAAGCGGTTAGGGGAAATCAGGAAGGCAGGCAGGTGAGCAGTTGGGAACCAGCAGTCATAGATTGTGATAGGGATGTCCGACTTCCCGTTTTGGCAGGATCCCACTAGGATTGGGCCTAAACGGGCTATTGTACATCCCTCAAGGAGTCCCAGATTGGAGAGGGTGCAGGCTGGGCTGAGGGACATCCCCGCCTCCATGCATGAATTTCTTGCACTGGGCCTCTAGTCATTAATAATAATGTATACTTGAAATTTGCTAAAAGAGTACATTTTAAGTATCCTTACCACACAAATAGATGCAAAAGGTAACAATTTGAGATGATGGTTATGTTAATTAGTTTGTGTTAATCATTTCACAATGTGTATTATATCAAAAAAACACATTTTATACCATATATAAACAGTTGTCATTTGTCAAAAATAAATAAATGTTATTCACAATTTTTCCATGAGTGTGCAAGAATTGAAAGAAGCTTGGAAATATAGAATTCACACTTTATATGTGAGGTAACTGCACTGTTATGGTCTATTAAATTTTGAAGTAATATAATTAATTGTGTTTTATGCTTCTAAATCAGATGAAAGGAGGTGGTGCATCTATAAAAACTAACTTTTTTTTATATTTTATTTTATTGATTTTTTACAGAGAGGAAGGGAGAGAGATAGAGAGCTAGAAACATTGATGAGAGAGAAACATCGACCAGCTGCCTCTTGCACAGCCCCTACCGGGGATGTGCCCGCAACCAATGTACATGCCCTTGACTGGAATCGAACCCGGGACCTTTCAGTCCACAGACTGACGCTCTACCACTGAGCCAAACCGGTTTCGGCAAAAACTAACTTCTTTTTAAAACAACTTCTATTCTAATTCAGGTTTATCTGTTGCACCACAGAATCTATCAATGTTGATGTTGTAAAATTCATTTGACTTTAGTAACTAAAATCTGGGTTTCAGCACATTTTATTACCTCTTTTAGACTTTACTTTCCCTATTAAATAAACACATCTCTTTGGAAGGCCTAGCTGGTGCTCATATATTATTTTTCAGAAACACTTCCTGATTTAATTTAGTAGTATGTAATGATAAATGTAGACCAAGATCCATATTTTTATATCTTTAAAAAAAGTAACTGTAGGAATTTAAGGTAAAACTTATCAAAAAGTAGATTTTAAAGTTGTAATTCATTCCTAAATAATTGAATGGGCACGTGATTAATTACTGGATTGAAACTTCATGCCCTGGGCTACCTCATTTTTATGCTTTACATTTCTATAATGACCTTATAGGTTAAGATTTGCTAGGGAAAGAAAAATGATGCTGTTACAAGATTTTTTCCTAAGATTTGAATTATAGAAGTATTGGCGAGTTTTAAGATACAGAACTTTAAAA